AAGTCATTGTAAAATATTCAAGTTGGAAACCATGGCGATTTTTATTAATTTTAAATTTGAAGGACTCCAATCTCAGACATAGAATATTTTCCCTTGAAGTTTCCTTAAGTCCACACAGTGGATGCGAAGATGAAAATGAGTTAGCATTAATGAATGAGCACAAGTTCCTTGAACTCAGATAGGCCAAGGTGAGGATTGCCTTTGGAATTTGATAACAAGACACTGAAACTCACTGTTTTTCTTTTTAAATAAATTGCAAAAAGAAAGCCAAATACAGTAACTTTTAAACATGGTGTTACTGGTGAAAGGACTTTTTGTCTTGTTTCACGTTTAATTTTTGTTTGTTTGTTTTGATGGTTTGCTTTTTGAGAGACAGGGTTTCTCTGTGTAACTGTCCTGGCTGTCCTGCAACTCTCTGTATTTTGTAGACCAGTCTGGCCTTGAACTCACAGAAATCCACCTGTCCCTGCCTCCCATGTCCACGTGATGACATATGAGCCACCACCACACAGACACATTTAAAGTTTTGATGGAAAGTCAGGCACAGTAGCTCATGCCTGGAATTCTAGTATTTAAGAGGCTGGAGTTGGATGATTATTGTGAGTCCTAAGCAAGCCTGAACTACACAATGTGTTCTAAACTAGTCTGAGACTCTGTCTCAGAAAACAAACACAAGGTAAATGATATAAAATTCTGACTAAAATCATCAGTAAATTATGACCACAAGTGAACATCAATAAAATGTCCACTGTTGAAGATGCTGCAGCATTCAGTGTGACCCTGTGAATATCAGATGTTTAACAGTACAGAGAAAGCTGTCTACAGAGTGCACCTGCTAATGAGGGGAGTCCTGAATGTCAGTTCCATTGAAACCACAGATTGCATCTGTGTGAATCACCTCACAAGATCTTAGTCACAAAGGGCACAGATGATGACTCAGAGGATGTGGAGCCTGAGCACTGTCAAGGAGATGGAGAGTCTATTCAAGCACATGTGCACTGTCTTCACAACAAAGGGTAACAGAATGGAAAAAGATAGAGTGCTGCACCCCTATAACTCCAGAGCAGGAGGATTGCTCCAGGTCAAGAGTTCAGGGCCAACATGGGCAACATAGTGAAACCCCTCTTCCTTAGATTTTATTTTTTTAAAACGACAATATGAACAAAAAAGAAAGAAAAGAGAAAAGCTTGGAACATTAATTTTAAAACCAGATAGCAAGATCTGAAGACCCATCTCTCATCTATGTATGTATGTATGTATGTATGTTTGTATGTGTATATGTATGTATGTATGTATGTATGTATGTATGTATCTATCTATCTATCTATCTATCTATCTATCTATCTATCTGTTCCTTCTTCTATTGGGTATGTTAAAATTCCTTCCTAATCCACATGTAGACATTTATCTTCTTGTGAAGATAATAAGAAGTGAGGCCTTTGGGAAGTTGCTATGAAAAACATGTCTACCACTTTATCTTGTTTCATATGATGACACAGCCGGGAGAGACTAACACAAAAGCTCTATTGATGGTAGATGTCATTCTGTAAATATGTTTCTCATACTGGTTAATGAATAAAGCACTGTTGGCCAATAGGAAAGCAAGATAGGCAGGGCTAGGAGACAAGGAGGATTCCAGGAAGAGTAGGGAGAAGTCAAGATGGAGAGATTGGGGAGACCAGATGCCAGCCCCATTCCCCAGTAAGGTAAGGCCACGTGGAAATACTTAGATTAACAGAAATGGGTTAATACTTAAGACAGAGTTAGCCAATAAAAAACAAGTACTGGCCAACAGCATTATATCAATACAGATGTGTGTTAATTGGGGCTGGTGCAGCAGCAGGACAAGACCAGCTGCAGGAGGAAAAAACCTACTCCTTACACTCTATATTAGATATAGAGAAGAGGCAAGAGCCAGACACCATTGAGTGTGCCTTGAGACTGAAATTCCAGACCCCATACTGTGAGAATATACATTTCTCTTCTTTATAAATTTCCCAGTCTTGCATTTAATTGGAGCATCACAAACCGACTAAGATACTGTTTGTTTGTGTAATATCCATCCACCTACCCACCTACCCATCATCCATCATCTGTCATCCACCCACCCACCCACCCACCCATCCACTCACCTGTCATCCACCTACTCATCATCTATTCATTCATCCATCCATCAACCTACCCATCATCCATTTATCCACCCACCTACCCACCTACCCATCCACTCATCCATCCATTCATCTATCTATCTATCTATCTATCTATCTATCTATCTATCTATCTAATCTTTTTATCCCTTATTGACAAGCCTCATCCTCTTGTTTATTTGATTCTCTTCTGTGTTCCCTGCAAGTGAAATTCTTCAAGGACAATTTTATACCTTTTTGTGTGTGGACCTCTATTTTTGGACAAAACTTTCCCGAAAGGCTAATTTCTTCCTTAAATGTTTAAAGCTCTTTCTTAAACAAGGTACTAAAAATCAAATGTTAAATGACTTCAGAAAATCTATTTTTAAGATATAGTAGGCTATTATTTAATGTGTGTCTACTGAGAAGTGAGAGATCAGTAGTACTTGGATTTTAAAGATTTATATGTTTTGTACTGAGACTACATATATGTGCAGGACCTACTAAAATCTAGTTATGTCTAACTCTAGACACACACATAGATGCTATTGATTCACCAGGGTAAAAGCAAACCATGTATTTTCTTATCAGGATAGTAACTTCTGTTATGGACAAGACATGCATAGACTTGAAAATTCAGACAACAGCTTTTCTTTTCTATGAGACACAATGGCTGTCATTGAGTTTAGACCTTAATTCACAGCAGAAAGGAAACCAGGTCCTTGTCAACAGTTTTGTTAATTCTCATTCAACAATGTCCAGCTCAATATGCTCTGCCTCCAATGCCTTCATGTTTTAACTTTTGACTGTCTTTACAAGACTTTGCAAGGGTTATCACTAGGAAGACATGGTACCTCTCAGGTCTCCTCTTGCTCCATTTATACACCAAAGGACATGCAAGCAGATTTGTTGAGAAAATTATCGTGAAAACTGCAAATACAGCCCTATCCTCCAGTTAACCAAAGCAAATCCCTTCCTAAAGACTGTGTGTCAGTTAGAGAATACTCTGATGCTAAGGACTCAATTTGATATTATTTTTAAATGATAAAAGTAATAATAAACAGTTCAGAGCCATAACTGTATCTGAACTGGGCATTGTCTAGTTTAAAAAACTATGCTAATTGAAAAAAAAAACTAATTGAAAATTTTCAGATCCAGAAAATTTCAGATTCAGAAAATTTCAGCAATATCTCATTCATATTTAAATTTTCCTACACATGGAAGGAAATAAACAGCTATAGGTAAAGTAGCTCATGCCTGGAGCCTCAGCAGTCTGGGGACAAGCAGGAGGGTTGCTGCATATTTGATGTCAGCCTGGTCTACATAGTGAGGCCTAGGACAGGCAGAGCTGTATAGTGAGATGCTATCTGAAAACAAGAAAACAAAACAGAATGATAACAGTGGCCAAAGTAGAATGGTGATAGGTTTTGTCAGGACTGCTTGGCCTTCAGCCTGTGGTGTTATATGGAATGGTGGTGGAGCCTTTAGATGGCCCAAAGGTTTAGAGGAAGGGAGCTGCATCACTGAAATCATGACCCTGAAAGGAGATTGGCACCTTGGTCCCTCCCTGTCTTTCTCATATGCTTTGTGCCTGCCTTAAGCTGAACAACCTTCTCTGCCATGTGCTCCCATTCTTAACTATTCACCAAAGGCCCAGTGCGATAGGGACAAATGACAATGGACTCAACTATGAAATGATCTGTCCAAGTAAAACGTTTCCCTTATTAGATTAGTTATCTCAGGTATTTTGTTATAGCAATGAAAAGCAGACTATATATACAGTGTTGATGTGTATATCCAACCTTAGGTCTTTTATTTCCCTATTTCAATTATTTATTTTATTTTTTTTAATTTTTATTTTTTTTTTTTGAGACAGAGTTTCTCTATGTAACAGTCCTGGCTGGCCTCAAACTCACTTTGTAGATCAGGGTGGCCTCAAATCCACAGAGATCTGCCTGCCTCTGCCTCCAGAGTGCTAGAATTAAAGGCACATGCCACCATATCCAGCTTCAATATATTTTATGTCACTTGGGCTCACTTACTTGCATCACTCTGTCCTAGTTTAGAAACTATTATGACTTCATGATAGTGATGGGTACGCATGTTATGTTCAAATCACAGACAGCTGAGACCCAGTGCAGCCAGGTGAAACATGGAAACTCACCAAGGGCATCACTTGTTCCCTTCCTGCAGCTTAAACATTTTCTCTGGTTTTCAGGTGTCAATCTTTTCTATACACTAGCACTTTTGCATAGGAAATGCTGAGAAGAATGATTTTACAAAATATTTTTAAAAATATATTTGGAATTTAGAGTCTTGCAGTAAAGAAAATTATGGCAGAATGACGTTCCATGTGGCTGAGGTCAGGGCACACCACAGAGTGGATGGGTGAGTGGTGCTTCTGTGGAATTATCCTACAGTCAGGGATCATAGTGCTGCCAAGGTTACTAGATCCAATCCTCTTACTGAAGATTACATAACTCAAAGAGGATTTCCATCTGATTGGCAAGAGAGAAATGGAAACCTGGTACTTGATTCCCTTGAAGTGGATCTTTTCTTCTGAACAAATTATTGACATGTGCAGTAAAGTTTGATTCTTCTTCTTGACTAAATATCAGTTAATGGTCAGTAGATTATTTCTCAGAAACCAGTATCCAAAACATCACTTTCAAGATCCCAGTAGCATTAGTTAATTAGTTCCCTCACGTAAATCTGTAATCAGGATTTTTTTTTTTTTTTTGGGCGGAGGTTGATCAAAGAACTAAAAACATATTAAGTGGGATGTACTAATATGAAAGCAATGATATATTCAAGCGAAATTCAAGGTATTGTCACAGAATGTCTGCAGTAAAGTAGCATCAACCTTGGCCTTACCCTTTAATTTCAAGGCTTCTAATACCTTTGAATCAGCGGTTACGTCGCTCACCAGCTTGATTTCGATATTTTGCGATGTCAGTTGGAGCAATTTCTCAAAGAGACGTTGACCCTGGGAAGAATATTCAGAGACAAAGGAAGAGAGAAACCTAAGTGTTTGCCATTTGGAGTTGGTATAAATAAACCTTTTAAACTTTAGGGATTCAGTTTGTAAAAGGCAAGTGCTTCGATGACAGATATTCACAGATGTGTGAAATACTCTGAGTTTCATGACTAGAATAGAAACAGGAACGTAGATGGCATTCTGTTTTATCAAGAACTGTGCAATCCAGCAATCTATAATAATAATTTTAATAACAGGATACAAATTTCCTTCCCTGTTGCTTTTAAAGTTGTAGCTATCTGAAAATAAAAAAAAGCAGTGAAAAATATTCAATAGCCACAGTCTGGCCCAGAAAGACCAACTAGTTTTCTAATTTACAAACAGTGCTTTTTAATTTCACCGATCTCCAGCTCTGTTCATGTGAATACAGTCTATACTTACTTCAAAAGTTTTCTATAATGTCAGCAGAATCACTGAAACTACTGTGGTTACTGGTTTACTTCATCTTATCTAAAACTTATTTCACTGACTAGAACAAATGTTTTATATATTTACATATAATATATATGTTGCATTATTGAAATATTTGCATTTATATAACAAATGTAAAAATCCAGGCTTGCTTGGTAAGAGTCTCACAAGCATAAAATCTTTAAAAGATTTATTTTAGGTAGACTAAATGATGATGGGTCCAGGCATGACTTTATCTTCAGGGATGATGCTACAATATCATGGTGTTTGTTTTCCTCTTGGGGTTTGATAAACACTTATCTTAAAAAGGAACTGGTCTATTGTTATTGACTTTTCATGTTTGTTTGTTTGGACCTCAAACACAAATACCTTCATAAGGGCCGGCCAGATAATAAGGCTTAGGTCTTAATGGGCCCCAAGTAGACCATTAAGCTTACCTTATCTTGATAAAAATCTGTGGTTGGTAATGATTATTTATAAAGGATTTGGTGATTGGGAGGAGCTGATGAAGCAAATGAGGATGCAAATGAGGATGCAAATGAACATGCAAACGAGGATGCAAATGGGGATTCAAATGAGGATCCAAGCAGTGATTCCTGAAAAACCTCCTTATGGAGGAGAAAGATCAAAGATTAAAAGCCTGACACTTCAAGGAGCTGGTGTGACAGCTGACAGCAGAAAAGGGTGTCTGGCACTTCTAGCCTGCAGCTGGCCAGCAGCCAAAGTCCATATTCCCTGGGTATTGGAAAGACACCCTTTGCCATACAGCCTGTTTGTAGACATTAATGTTGCCCCGTGTGGAGCTCACCTCAGACTCTCAAAGTTCTCAGAAAGCCTGGGAGAAACTTCATCCCAACAGACAGTATGGGGAAATGCATAATTGACAGATGCAAATGCCTTTTAACAAGGCCTAAAAAGAAAGTGGGAGAGGGTGACCCCCAGCTGCTAATTTGCTGCACTTGGTATGTGAGGCTATTCTTTTTCTTACTATATATCATCTGTGTTTATTTGTGTATATGTGAGTGTGAGCCACTGTACTACATGTACATGGGGGGTGGGGGGCACTGGTGGAAGCCAGTCGGAGATAGCAGATGTCCTGGACCTGGAATTTCAGGTGGTTGTGAGCTGTTGCACATGGGTGCTGAGCACTGAACATGACTCTGGAAGAGAAGCAAGTACTCTTAACCACTGAGCCTCCTCTCCATTCCCCTTGGAGGGTGAGTTTTAAGTGAGGGCATAGGCAACAAGAGGCTTCATACACAATCTGAGTGCATATCCACATTGTGGAGTTCATGACTCTTTCTGTCCCACATAAGCAAGCATGGTCGAGATTGCTACCCCATCCCACACCCTGCTCAACATAGTTTACACAAGTTGGTTGTTATTTTCCCCTTTCACACAAAAATCCACTTCATGTCTTGGCAACATCCTATAGATAGTGGACCAGTATTTTTTCTTCTTTCAATTCTTTAAAAAAAAAAAAATGTTAGTTGACAAGATATATTTGGTACAAAAAAAGTTGTCACCCAACCTGTCTTCATTCTTGACTCTGTATCTTAAGCTTACTCTCCTTGTATTCTTTTGTGTAATTTAAATCAAAGACCGGAACTCTTACACACGAATGAAAAGAGAAACTCTGGAACCTACAGATACAGGCAGGCTGCCATTAAATGAAGCGCTTTTCTCCTTTAGTGAGAGGTGATGAGTCATGCTAGGAAATCTGATCGGTCCAACTGTAACACCATGATGAATTTGGGCTTGTAGAACTGCACATGAGCTTGAGTGAAACTTCTATTAAGTCACCTGTTTCTGACATGTTATGTTCCTGCCCCAACATTTTTGCTATTATATTTAGAATGTACCAACTTTCTGTGTATATGGTGGGGGGGAGATAGGGTACATGTCTCTATTTGTGTGCATATTGGAAACTCAAGGTCAGTGTGGAATGTCATTCTTCAGATACCATTTGCCTTGTTTTTTCAATTGTTTTTGAGACAGGGGCTAAGCAGGATGGCCAGCAAGCCCTGGGAATCCACCTATTTCTGTCTCTCCAGTGCTTCGGATTCAAGCACATGTCATCATGCTTATTTGTTTGTTTATTTATTTATTTATTTATTTATTTATTTATTTATTGAGTGGCTTCTGGGGATCAAATTCAAGATGTCATGTTTGCACATCAAGCAGTTTATGGGCTGAGCCATCTCCCCAACTTCAGAATGTACTAACTTTCAAAAGTATGTTTTTTTTAAAACTAAATTTAAATAATTACATATGTGTGTCTGTGTGTGGGCATGTGCCCATGAGTGAAGGTGCCAGAAGAGACTAGACAAGGCTGTGGGATTCTCTGGAGCTGGAGTTCCAGGTGGTGGTGAGCTACCTGATTTGTGTGCTGAGAACTCAAGTCCTCTTCAAGAGGAGCACATGCTCGTAACCACTGCAGCATCTCTCCAGCCCACACTGTCAAAGCTCTACATCATATGCTGTACATAGGTCTCCAGCAACGCTCTCTGTGTAGAATTCACTCATTAAAGAAGAAAGAAAGCAAAAGAAATAATAATAGCCTCTTGCTTTTTTAAGTATCAACAACTTAAAAATCTTATCTTTTCTACCGAAAACTATTAGCCTCCAGCTAGACTGGTGAACCAAACATGAATGTGAGATTGATTTTAAATTATGTACATATATCAACATACATGTATAGAATCCTGTAAATGTTAACCTCACAGTATTTAGAATCACCCAGGATACAAACCTTTGGCCATGCCCATGAGGGATTACCTACATTAGGTGAATTGAGGTGGGTAGTCCTGCCTTAACTATGGATGGCACCATGGCAGGAGTTTGGGTCCTAGGCCTAACAAGGAGGAGAAAGTAAGCTGAATATTAACACTCATCTCCCTCTGCTTCCTGATGGTCAATGCAACCAATGTGACTAGTTACCTCAGTCTCCTCTCACCATGACTTCCTGGCTCTCATGGAACATGTCCTGGAACTGTGAGCCAAAATCAACCCTTCCTTAAGTTGATTTTGTTGAGGTATTTTATCACAGCAAACAGAAAAGTAACTACAGCAGATTTTTCAGGAATAAATGAGATGTAAAGTGTCCAGATGATTAAGGTCTTTATACATCTTATCATAGACAATGAAAAATGGGTTGGAACCCTGGGCCTAGGAAGACATTTATGGGGAGGTGAACAGAGGAAGTAAACGGTCAAGTAGGGTGATCTTGCTATGTCTACGGGAGACGAGTCTCTTGGATGGTAGGGACTGTTTTCAGGGACAGCTCTCTTCTTAGTGAGTTAGTGAGTGCTTTATGAAGTGAGTTTCCCTTTGTGAATGCAACTGTCTTTTACAAAAAAGGGAAATACACTCTATTCTAGGAGGAGGTAAGGAGCTTTACCTATACATGCTGGTTCTCATTTGCCACGAGGCAAAATAATCTGCATGTTTAAGAAGCATATTTTGGGGTGACATATTATGACTCTGGTACCCATCAGTCCCTAATAAGTGGGGGTTATAAATTATTCCTGTTTCTGTCCATTCAAAGTAACTGGTATAGAGAATGAAATGCCCAAATATAACACAAAAGGAAAAAGCAAAGCTATTAAGCATGATAGAGAAGCCATTTGGCATGATGAACTCTAGGGAAGTGCATAGACCATGGGTATAGTTCTCAAACTTGCCTATTAAACCTGTTCACATAATATATTTTTATTTCATTAGTGTAAATGCATGTGTGCATTCATGTTCGTGTATATGTGCACATGTGCATGTGTGTGCACATGTGTGTGAGGTCAGAAGACGACCTTGTTTTGTTTTTTTCAGAAGCCTTCTACCTTTTATTTAAAGGATCTCTCGTTGGACTGGAATTCCCCAGAGTATACAAGACTCGCAAGCTTCTGGGCGATAATAATGTAACTCCATCATACCATTGCTGGTATAATAAGCATGTGCCACCATGTCCAGCTTTGCATGTGAATTTTGGGAGTCAAATTCACATCCTCATGCTTCCAACAAAAGTGATTTACGAACAGAGCTATCTCTCTCTGCCCTAAAATAAAATCTTAACGTTTCCTTGAATTTTCTCATATTCTCCTCTGTAGAACCCAGGAACTCAGCAGAATACTTGACAAAGCCACTGAGTTTTGCCCCTTCATCATAAAGACATATGGTATAGGATCATCGAAGATTCTGAGATTTGATGAGAATGATGTAGATAGAAGCTACTTTACAGGTCACCAATATCATTTTGTAAATAATGACACAGGAGAAGAACAACAAAACAAAACAAAAGTGTGAGGGAGAGGCTGCAGATACTCAGGCTGCTGGTGGCAAGCAAGGCCCAGGAGCTCTGGCTGTTCTCAGGTAGCTCTGTCTTCAGAGACTGTTTGGAAAGAGGTTACTTCCAGGTCTTTGGCTCATTTTCCTGAGCTAGGATTTATCTGAGTCTCCCAAGCCAAGCAGTGCAGACCAGTGGGGCAAACAAGGGCTAGGCTAGCATGCAGTGATGCAGCATGAAAGAAGAAAGACTTTTGGTG